AAATTACCGAATTCCATGTCATCCTAAGCTCTCATCATTCATCAATCGTGCTACTCTATGCTGTGACTTTGTTCTGCCTCATTTAACAGGACTTGAACTGATCATATCTGTTGGACAATCGGAATTCATTCCTTTGGTGACTGAATCTGCTGGAGTGCGAGTGATTATACAGGATGACGGCGCTGACATATTCTCTGGAAACGGCTTCAATCTTCCCACCGGTTTCGAAATCGACATAGGCGTTTCGGTGGTAGGTGTCAATAATAAATAAAAATAATGATAATTTATAAATGATAGTAAATGATAATAAATAGTTAATCAATATGTTTGTTTCGATTTCTAAAATCTCCTTAGCGATTATGGATACCAAATTAGCGAAGTGATAAATATGAAAGACAAACAAGTACATATTTCATACTTCAAAGTATAAATTTGGACATATTAGTCATCTGTAATGACACGTTACGTAAACAATGTTCGTCTGGTTGTTTACGACTTTACCAGATGTAATATCACATAACGTCAGTATACGTTTTTAATGCGACTACTGGATTGCTATTTTATCAGGCTTCGAACCATGTCATACGCTAAATGTTAATACAGAAATATTTACCCTATACACTGTCATATTATGACCACGGCCTAATCAAAGACAAAGAAGGCGAAATCATCAAAATAGAAAATGAAGAAGAGAAACATGAAGGTTGCAATTGGGAAAGCTGATTAAGTTTAGTGTGTTTGGTGTCCACTATAAGTACCATTAATAGAATATATTTCGAGGACAACTCTGCAGGGCAGGGATTTAGAAAAGACATTAGTATCAGGCGACTAATGTGTGAACACCTGCATAATTTGGAATTTGATTCTTGCCTCTACTTGGGCACACAAAAGTGACAAATCTCAATCTTATGTATCTGTGGTTGACGTTCAGCTTTCAGTTGAGAGCGATAAGGACTGGTTTCCATCAGATTCGTGCTTTCGCAGGGAGGTTATTACAAAATACCGACTCCAGCATACACATATATATTACTTTCATGGACGGGAGTACTTAGATTACCTAAGTTGTGAATAAGACATTAAACTGAATGAACCAACCAAACCAAACTCCTCGAGGAGGACAAGTGCCACGCGATGAACGGGAAACAATACATTTCAATCATAACGTGATCCAGATGGAAAATAATTGTGTCCTTATCTATATCTTACTACGATAAGATTAAACTCAAATCAGTTAATATTAATTATTTTAAATACTACATTAATGAATTAGTAGAAATTCGCTGTTTATTAGAACTAAATATTGCGGCGTTTTAATATATATATACAAAGTGTGGTAGACAGACGCAGTATACATACGTCCAATTTCGTCATGAACATGATCAATATGCGCATTAAAATGAAAAGAAAACTCACTTTTCCTGTTTTATGGTAACGACAAAGGAGATCTCGACAGCCAGAAACTCAAACCAATGGCAAGCATGTAAGAATCTTACTCCGCTATTTCTACGCTATGACACTCAAATCATCTACCAGTGAATGAAAAGCAACACTAAAAAAACATCATTTATGATTAATAAGAATGTATGCCCCTTATCTTTATGTTGTACTTATATACAAACAATGATAACATAACAAACTTCTATGTAAATTTATAGTCTGAGACATACAGAGAGGCGGGGCCAGATCAGCGCTGTGAGGAAAACAGTCTCTGGCAAAGAAAATTGGTAAGTCACTACCTTACTACAAATAATATTAATTATTTTGTAAATTATTTTTATTTTATTGATTTATTTGTTTATTATCGTGTGTGTGATGATGATGTGTGGTTTACATTATACCTATTCGTTGCGGGAGTGGTGCATTGCTTTAATCGTAAATATTGAGGCACACAAGTCAACAATGTAGTAAGATATGGTAACATCAATAAAAAAGTTTATTTTTCGTTTTTACACCCGAGGAATCAAGTATTGAATGTAGATAGTATTGATAACATAAAGTTCCAGATAATATGTAGTCTTGATAGAGGTCCAAACGTGCAGACAGTCAGTCGTTATTTCCAAATGAATAGTTTGAAGAGAAATTAAACGCAGACATTAAAATTAAAATACATGTTCGCGGTAGACTCGTGCCAAATCCATCGTCTATTTTGTATTCTAATAGGCTTGTTTGATGAACTGTTCCATTGCACACGCAACAAAATACTGTCGGTGTGCACCATACCATGGCTACAGCGTGGAAATCGAAGACACGTGTATTACAGTGGAAGGTAAGTAATACATTAGCAGTAGTAGTAGTAGTAGTAGTAGTAGTAGTAGTAGTAGTAGTAGTAGTAGTAGTAGTAGTAGTAGTAGTAGTAGTAGTAGTAGTAGTAGTAGTAATAGTAGTAGTAGTAGTAGTAGTGGTAGTTATAGTAGTAGTAGTAGTAGTTATAGTAGTAGTAGTAGTAGTAGTAGTAGTAGTAGTAGTAGTAGTAGTAGTAGTAGTAGAAGTAGTAGTGGTAGTAGTAGTAGTAGTAGTAGTAGTAGTAGTAGTAGTAGTAGTAGTAGTAGTAGTAGTAGTAGTAGAAGTAATGTTGAAGTAGTAGAAGTAGTAGTAGTAGTAGTAGTAGTAGTAGTGGTAGTTGTAGTAGGTAGAAGTTGTTGTTTGCAAAACTGAAATATGCCATGTCATCATATGCAAATACAAATGTCACCAGCATTATTGTGTGATATTCAATTAACTTCATAAAATCTTGCTTGCCGAAACTAACTGTTATCATAATAAATGAAATGTGGCATTATACAACATCACTCATGAACCTATACGTTTAACGCTTAGATATGAAATGCTTAAAAGATGAGACTGACTCGATGCTGAAGAGTGAAACCTGTGCAGCCTGCAAGTTTCCGTGTTTGTAAGTTATCGTTTTAAATAATATACCCATACTGTTTTTTTTTAGCATACTTAATTATTTACTCTACTTGTATATCCATCTAGCACACTTGCTTAGCTTTATACATGTATATTAATATATAAATCGTGTGTTTTGTAGCATAAATATTGTATCCGTCATATAATTGAAAAGTAAATATGACGATATACTCTGTATCACATGAGCAACATGAACATAATGTACTCCATAAAATAATCTGGTAAATTATAACTGAAAAGTGTTCCAAACTTGAAATGACGCCCAATCTTATTGTCCACTACAGTTTGATTGAAAACAATCTTATACGTGATAATCAACGTATTTCACCAAATGGTTTGTTAATTATGATAGCATTACCAAATATATATAAAGACAGATACTTCTTATGCTAGGTAAATAAAACCCGTTATTTATCAGAATGTACATATGCACTCATAAGCTGATAAACCAGCTCCCTGTAATTAATCCAGTTCATTCTTTTCTCAACATACCCTGCTAATTTCACATATGGTATATAAAATATTTGTATTTCAGCGAGAAATCCTACAAAACACCCGTTTCGATGTCGAGATGGCCATCTGATGCTTACAGGGAAATCCTGGCAGTGGACTACAACTGGGGGGACAAAGTTGATAAAATCAGGTAATATTGGAACCAGAACTTAAATAACTAACACATAGATTAACTAGTTGATAGTTACGCTGTAAATAAACATTTCCAAAATACCACGTGCGGTGCAAATCGGTAAATTTTCAATCGGATTGTTTAATTTATATTTACAGAGCGGATTTCATGCGGCTTCGGGTGTATTTCTCAACAATGACCAAAGAAATTATCAAGGAAGAACTTTCTTACACGGTAAGGCATTCAATGATTTTATGGCTCTATGTTATTAATATTGGTTGTGCTACGTACTGCATTTTGTTTCGATGTAACTTCCCCGGTTCTTATTTCTCAGACGTGCTATTACTTTGACTTGACCTAAGTTTACCTAGCGGGCTGTGTTGTCGATGAACCAGAGGTCGCTACCCTTCCTGAGTACTCGGTCTTCTTCTCCGAGTACTTTTTTCTAAAGTCTCCATTTAAATCTGTCATAGTACAATTTGCCCTAGTTTAATGGATTTGTAGTTCAAATTACAGTTTTGTTAACACTTAAATAATCTTTTGATGTTTTTTTTTATTAATAATATAAATGTTACAAAATTACTAGCACCAAATTCATCTTATACAATATATTCTATTATCATGTTATCAAAAATATCAACCTTCATATCGCAAAAGGTTATAGAGCATGTCTCAATCAAATCATGATGGCTAAAATTAAACCTGTCCGTAATTATCATCAACACATTCTATTAATATAAAAGTAAACATTGACTGATAAACTAGCGAACATTCAAAATCAATAAGCGCAGTGCCTATAAAAGTAGTAGTAGTAGTAGAAGTAGTAGTAGTCGTAGTAAGCAGTGGTAGTCGCATAGTCATTGCAATGCCGTACATTCACAGATAGCACTTGATATAGAGAATAGATGTACTTTTATTGCTAACCAGTTGTGGTAACATTAATATTGGTTAATAAGGAATTAATTTTGATTATCATTACACATATATCAATTACAAATGATCTAATGTATATCCTATTCTTGTCTATTAGTCAGAGAACTTCGTCAGCGACATTGGAGGGCAGCTTGGCTTGTGGGCGGGTCTGTCTGTACTGAGTCTTGCCGAGGTGGTTGAGCTTCTTGTTCTTTTGGTAACTCATTGCTGCAAGAAGAAAGGCAGGACCAATCACTAAGATATACCGCAAAAACACTCGGTCTCGGAGGAATCCTAAAAGGTCAACTAGGAAGTGTTTGACTGGTCAGAAGTAGGGAAGATTTTGGACATCTCAACATGCAGTTCGGCGTATGAATGTTTTTAACTTTTATCGTGTTATGCGCACACCTTTTTACCGATAATCAAACAACATCTATAACTTCATGTCTAATTTCAAGGAAAAAATCTGTTGAGGATTAAAGGGATAATACACATACATTTTGAACACAATAATTAAGGAGTGGGATTAGTCTTACTAAAGCGCTATACTGTGTAACATTGAACGTTTGCTGTATAAATATTCGTGGTTTTGATGGTTGTTATAAAAAATAAAAACAACAAATTTAGTTTATGTATTTGAATTTCTTTGTTCGTATTTGATATCCACGAAAGTTTGTACCACGAAACAATCTAAATGGCTTCAAACCACGAAAGTTTGTACCACAAAATGATCTAAATGGCTTCAAACCACGAAAGTTTACACCACAAAATGATCTAAATAGCTTAAAACCACGAAAGTTTGTACCACGAAATGATCTAAATGGCTTCAAACAACGAAACTTTGTACATCGAAAACGTACCACGAAATACTCTAAATGGCTTCAAATCGCGAAAGATTGTATCACAAAAACGACCTTAATGGCTTCAAACAACGGAGGTTTGTAAAACGAAATGACGCAAATGGCTTCAAAGCACAAAAGAAAAACCACACAGCTTTCGTTTTATACAGTACTACGTGATTGCCATTTGTACCCTCATGTGTGTGTGGGTATGGGACGCTAGTGTATGCTGAAGGTTGTAAACGTTTCCTGCAGGTTATGGGTCCTGAAGTTCAACGGTTGTTATATAGTGCTAATATTTTGATTAGCACTACACCCATACCACCGATGTTTTCATTGTCTGTTCTGTGACTACACCACTTTGGAGTTACACGAAGACATATTTATTCTTACCGAAACCTAATAGTTGCACATTGCACACACAAAGTATTTTTTCAATCTAGTTTACACGCGTATATCCAAGCAAAGCAACGTGATAAATAAAAGTCCGTTACATTGAATATGGTTTTTTTAACCACGAACGTAAATTTTCTAACTGGTGAGTCGCTCCCAGTTTCTAACTGGTGAGTCGCTCCCAGTTTCTAACTGGTTAGTCGCTCCTAGTTTCTCTAGATACAGCTTGTCTTATAGCGAAATATTTCAGTGATTAATAAACGATAGAAATACCTTTGGTATTAATGGTGTAATATGAATCGATTATTGACAAAAGGGACAATTTCAATATTTTTATGTTCATGGTGTGAAATATGTACAAAGGGCAGCAATATCAAATCATTTTTAAAGCTTGTAAAGGATATATGAAAGATGTTTATATTCCTTTAGCTTTTTATCTTACATTATTGTCAATAAATGACTTTTTCTTGTCTCTTATGCATTGAGCTTCATAGGACTAATAAAATATTGACACCACATAATATAATTATTGCCCTCCTCCCCCCCCCCCCCCCCCCCCCCCCCCCCGTTATAGGTTTGCACTTCGTCCACTCTCCGTGAGTCTTGAGTCTATCTGCTGTTCTTTTTCGATTCCATTGTTCTTATGTCCGAAATATGACCCTTGACGACTGTTGTCATGTAACGTATGGTGATATCGTGTAGAGAAGCCTCCATCGAAGCGGACACCCACAAATAACGGACTCGTGCTCCGATAACACCTTAGAATGTGTCATGGATTCTTCATGGTTGATCAGTCATCGGGAAAAGATATATTGTGATATCATGCAACACCATTACCATCAGCAATCAACATTTCAACGGTATCATACAATTGGCAATTAATTCAAATGCCCCCCTTATAGGTTTGCACTTCGTCCACTCTCCGTGAGTCTTGAGCCTATCTGCTGTTCTTTTTCGATTCCATTGTTCTTATGTCCGAAATATGACCCTTGACAACTGTTGTCATGTAACTTATGGTGATATCGTGTAGAGAAGCCTCCATCGAAGCGGACACCCACAAATAACGGACTCGTGCTCCGATAACACCTTAGGATGTGTCATGGATTCTTCATGGTTGATCAGTCATCGGGAAAAGATATATTGTGATATCATGCAACACCATTACCATCAGCAATCAACATTTCAACGGTATCATACAATTGGCAATTAATTCAAATGCTTGCATGCATGGTGAATTTTTCAACGGGGTAAAAGACCGAAACGAAAAGAAAAAAACCCAAAACAGCAATTAGTTGGATATAGATTATACATTCTATTTGTACAGTAACATTTATTGTTTTCGTTAAGCAATATATACCATCGTCCATAGAGCATTAACACGCCTCAGTGGATGCACAGTAAACAAACAACATCTACGTAAAACATGTCCGCTGGGGCGTTGAATTCGTGCCTCACAGCTTGTTTATAATATGGACGATATCCGTAATATTTCTTGAAATAATCCTTGCCGGCAATGAAGATTTTACTGTCCAATAATATCGATATTATAAAATGAATAATATTGATATCTGTATAGAGTCCATAACTCCAGAACAGATAGCGCCTTGAATAATTGATACTATATAGTGATCAGTCGGGGTTACTCTAAGTTATATTGATTAGGAAGGCCTCATCAATAGGCCCTATCACAGACGAACTAATTAAGTACTTTTATCATTGGCGTATTTATATCAACTGCCATGGTATAAAATATTCAGTTCTGTAATGTCTATTCAAGTACAATGTATACCAATTTTAAATTTACAACACTTTTTACTCTTTATCGCAAGGACATCCAACTATCTTAATTATCTGCTATTAGGATCGTGTTACAATCCTTACTAATAATCGAACAATAAGGGAGATGGACATAGTAAATCTGGTAATAAGTTTATCCAAAATAAATAACAATGCACAATACAGCTGTTTCGTCCTTCCAGAATTCATCGGTGATAATTGGTGCTAAATAGAGGGAAATCCATATTGGTCTAAACTACGTATGAAACAGAAGGGGAGTTTCGTAAACCTCTTAACATTTTAAGTTTCGAAAGAGGTATGAAACGCAAAATTCAGCTTTAAAAACACCTTCCACCCCCCAAAAACAAGTAACACTTCGTTTTTTTGTCTTTAAATCATCATTTTGTAGATGTCTTTTATTTATCCCACCATATGCATACATAAGTTATTCGGTTTGAAATTAGTCCGAAAAAAATCATTTGTTTATGTTTATTTTCCTCCCATAATATTTGTATTGCTTTATCGTTACTTTATTTGCAAAGAGAATGCATGTAGTTAGCCTTTCGTATACAGCAATATAATGGCACTCTATTTATGTCAAGGAAAATACTCCTAGAGGCGTAATAATCGAGGTATGGCAGATATATATCAGCAACTAAGGGCAACTTACCTTATGTACTTGTATATGCGCGGATGCGTGCGCGCGTGTACTGGGGACAAGGAGGAGGAGGAGGAGGAGGAATCGGTCCATGTTATTGTATTGTCATATGATATATCCGGAATGTCTTCTTGAGCTGTTGATACCTATGCAAATTGCTCCAGGGGCTTTGAAAGGGTAATACTATTTTTCTATTGTTTTTATCTTTAAAGCTTTATCATTATCATGGATGAAATCTCTCGTTTATAGATCTTTAGACAATACAGTTAATTGTAGGAAGCCTGTGACATTTATCCCATCTATCTGGAAACGAGTTGGACTCTAGAGATAGCATATACATACATATTTAATGCAATAATACCAAACTGACAAACTAATTAGTTACACTTAAACTTTTGATATGATATCAATCTATTGAAAAAAATGTGATTTTACCTGATGACGTGCTTCATTTGTTATGATAATAGCCCAATTGTTTTTCTTTTTCTTTTCGATTTCGTATTTGTTAAAGGGTCTTGTTTCTTTTTAAAGTGAAAATAGGAAAATGTCTCACTGCATTCTTTTTGAGATGATTTTTACTGAATGTATACTGGTGATTTGTATGTCACTTTTGTTTTAAATTAATTCTACAAACAATATAGGTCGCTATATAAATGTTGTATATTATTATTATATGAAAACAATAAGAGAGAAGTACAAATTATCGAAACATTATTCTATACTAGTTTGTTTTGAATACATATATTTTCAAAATGCCTAAAAATAGTGTTTTTTAAAGAACTTTCAGTATTAGAAAAACATTTTTCTAGTTTATGTGGTGTATACATTTCAATATACATTTAAAATACCATTATATTTATCGAATAATATCCTATTTCAATGCAAATACTTAGCAATTGACTGACTTACAAATGTCACTCATAAATATTAAGCACTATATTTAACATCAACGAGCATTTAATCTACAAGCAGAAATGGGTCGCCTTAATTGTATTCTGCCACATAGGAATCATGTATAGTTTATGGCGCATGCTCCAGTACATCTATATTTGTATGGATATTATAAGCGTGGCGTTTGGATCAAGGAGTACTATCTCTCATTTAGATGAGCAAGGTGTAAATAAGCATTAGGATCATAGGAAATAAAGTTATTTGAAAAAAAGAAGAATTTCATTATAAGGGAATGTAGATATTCATTGATATAATAATGTAGAAAAAGGCAAACTTATGTAACATTTAATACAAACAAACAGAAAAAAGACATGCATAATTGAGGAAGGGAATAAGTGATTTTGGGGACACCCAAGACTGATTTTACGAAATACATATGTGATTAAGTTGAAACAAATGTGCTTTTCTAGGGAGTCAAGATAACCATCTAATCAACAAAGGCTGACGAAAAAAACAAATCATCATGTTTCAGCCATTGAAGATGTTTATGGAATACACCTCAGTGCATGGTCTCGGACGCATCGCTACTGTGAAACATGTAATACACAAACTGTTGTGGACCGTCCTCTTTCTTGCCTCTCTCGGAATGTGTATATACCA